ATTCGTTATTTAGAACCACGAAGAAAGTATTAATTATTAACACATTTTCAAGTATAAGACTCGGACGATCATGAATGAAAATTACATTGAGATTGATGTTTTAAGTCAGGATGGGCCTTTGGACACTAATAGTCTTCCCGTTGCATTCTAGGGCCAAGAAATACCTCCGGGCACCGTTAAAAAAAACTGCTAATTCAAATACGAATTTATTCAACTATGATCAAATTACTTCAGTTACATATTATTTTAAATTTTTTCTTTCAAAATCTTGCATCAGATCCAGTTCTTGTAAAATATTTTAAGGAATGGTTACGAGGTCAGTAGCAAGTGTGGCACTTCTACGTAAAGCAGCAGACGAGATAAGAATCAGGATACTTTTAGATCAGAGTGAAGGAGTATGAGATTGGCGATGCATGTGGCATACATAAGTATGATAAATGTATACATAATTTTGTTCGGAACCCTGGAAGGAAGTAACCACTAGGGCGACATAAAAGTAGATGGGTAATGAAATTTACATGAATCTTAAGTAAATAAGTTGAGATTCATCTAGCCCAGAATATAGACCAATGGTTGGTTAATCTAGATACTGTAATAAAGGAATGCTTTCGGTTTCTGTGAATGTCGGGGAATTTATTGAATACAAGAGCAACTGCCAGCTTCTTAAAGAGGACTCTTTTCCGCGGAATTCATTCACTTGTAGGTCATTGATATAAGTGTTTATAATTTCCGTAGATAGATTTCTTGTGCCTGAAAGTTGTCACATAGAACCTTTATGTTCTTTCCAAAGCCCGTTTGCGAATTTCACTACACAAAGAAAGTGCGTTGCACAGTTATTTGATATGCTACAGTCTAATGCACGCTAAGTTACAGTCGTAATAATGTATTCTGAAATGAAAAAAAACGTAGGCCTGTGTATTTCGCGTTTTCGCCATGCAAAACAAAAACAGTTTTTATCTCGAATATCTGACGAAACACAATTTCATTGGCCTTATTGAACTGTGTACATGATTTCAGCACCTCAGAACATCGCACTGCTGTTGTTACTGGTTATAACAGGAAATTAGGACGTGCAGAGGTAGGTTTGCTTGTAGTGGTATACATTTGTACCAGATTTCTTTAAACTCGGTAAATTGATAGACAGTCATTATGGATATCAAATCTAAAACTTCTTGAAGCCTAGTTTGGATTTATCTCCTATTTGGATACCTGTCATCTCTGAAGAAATCCAAGTTGGGCATCGAGTTTCGAGCTGATATTCATGTGTATTTATTCCCAACTTTTGTGAGTTTTTTGTTTTTTTGGCTTTATCGTGTTTAATGAATTTTGATTTCTACTAACTATTCTTTTACATCCCACGGATGGATGGTGTGGTGATGCCTTTTTATTCCGGGACTTTCACTTTTTTACTTTGTCCGGAGATAGGGATTAGCTCTATCTAGTGGGCCCAACTGTGTAGGAACCTGAAGACGGAGATAGAGTCCCATCTCCGAAACGTCGTTTTACGTTTTATATTTACTAGACGATGGATAATATCCAAGAAAATTTTTATACAGTCATTAAGGAGCTTACATATGTATTGGATTATGGATATACTATGCATCCAGCTTACTTTACAGAACAAAAACTAAGCTAAGTCGGGCTTAATTTTAGTCCTCAAATTTTACTTCGTATGGTGAGAACACAACGTAGTGTAAGAATTCAGTAACATCTTTCTGTAACAATTTTTAAGTGCGTCGAAAAAGTACGATTGTAAGTCCAGGGAAGAAAATAAAGGCAATTCATAAGCCTACTCGGATGTTTCTTAATTGACATAATATTTTGCTGGCGTTTTATTAAAGTTTACATAGAAAATATACTCTAAAGTGTGCTAAAGTTCTGTCATATTGTGGCAGAAAATCAATTGTTAGTGCCATCAGCACAGTCGGTTTGAAGCGAAGAGACACGAGAAAATAATTGGCATAAAGCATCAACACAAACCAAGGCATAACTAACCTGCTATGGTGTGTACCCGTTGATATTTCAATGGCACGTATACAAACACATTAGTTATATTGCCAGCCCTTCACAAGTTTTCGTCGTCTGTACATTGGATAAGTAAATAAATTTGCTGCATACGGTGTTCATAACCTTTGGCGAACTTCACGAATCTTTCCGAGGACTTGCTAGTTGTTCGGTTGGCCAAGAAAATACCCGCCTCAGATCCTAAGACTAGTTATTGTGTTTTGCAGATTTCCACCGTTTCCTATCCTGAGACAACTGAGAACAGTTCACACCTTCGTACACGTTCTTGATTGATTTTATTAATATTCTCTCATCTCTGCCTAGAACTCAGAAGTGGCCTATTCATTTCAATCTTTCTTACTTGCACTTTTTTACACATTTCCTATCGCCCCCAAACGTACTTCATACACCGCTCATCTCATCCTGTTTGATTTTATCGCCCTAATAATATCTGATGAACCGTGCAGATAATGGACTTGTTACGTACTTTTTCCGGTCTCCTGTTACTTCCGCTCTGGTAAGTCAAATATTCTCCCAAGGAATTCGTTTTGAAACATCCTCATGATCTGTATTATTACGTATGGCTCAGAGGACAATAATATAAAATAACAGATCAATAAACTTTATTAATGTAAATTTCTGTTGTTTTTCTATTATACAGCCAGTCCCCGCTGTTATGAAAGGTTACGTTCCTTAAGAAAGTTCGTAAAGTAATTCTCATAAGCGCAATGTTATAATTGGAGGTTACGATCCCGAAGGATCAAAAAATTTCTAAAGAAAATTTGAAATCAACCATTTTATTGCCTGAAACAAAGTATACAAGCGACGGAAACAGATTATTAAATATATTTTAAAAATAAAATTCACGAACTGACACTTGTACTTCATTTAGTTTTACTGATGACGTTGTGTTCTTTGTTTGCGCTTTCAAAAGTACGTGTTCGACCTTGTTTGGAATATTTCGGATGGCGAGCCAAGCAGAGGACATGCCCTTCATTTCAAAAGTTCGTATGAGCGAAATTTCGTAATGCGTATCTTCGCAAATCTCCCTGAGAGAACAAAAAATTGCTGGGTGTCCATTATCTATTCCTTCCTGTATTTGGAGGGATCAACCATAAAATTATGTGGTCCCACTAACAGTCAGCGCTGGTATAAGAGATGGCGTAAGCAAAATTAAATATGTTTTTGATGTCTGCTCTAAACAGGGGGAAAAATAGAAATACTATACACTTCCGGTATCTATCCGAACTTCGTGGGTTGATAAGACCAGGGTGTAATCTGTCCTCAATATTTCATTTGCGTTCAGGCCATCGCAAGTCAGAACTTGGACTGTGGCAATGATTACTTATACGTCCATGTCCTAAACGGGATTCGATGCTGCGACTCAGTAGGAGTCTTAATTTTAAGATTTTCCCCACCAAAATTCGATATGCTCATATCCAGGCAACCGTAAAAATCATTTTACTGCATTAAAAATTCTGTGTGACATGTTCTTCGTAAAGTACTGCATGCCTTACTTTGTTTCCTAGTGCTCGTTATCTGTTTATTGAACGATCTTCACGAAACTCAGTACGAGTTGTATGCCGCTGTACGCTACCCTGCCTTTGTCATACGACGTGGCATTCCATTAGACTAGTTATTGGCTGAAGCCAAGGTATTTCCCAGTAAATCTATTTCCATGGTACAGTCATGTCAGTACCATTCAACAACCTGTAATTTATGAAACATTATTCAAACCAAAAACTAAAAATTTCTTAGAATGAAACTGGGATTGGGGGCTAGCTCTATGAAGGAGCCAAACAGAGCAGAATATTTTACCCGATGAAAGAAATAGAAAAAAATTCCGAAATGTTGTTGGCTCAAAAACGTGGAAGGATGGAAAATTCCAAGGGGATAAGTTATAAATAACGCATTCTAGTAATTTATTTTACTCGATTATGTTTGTTTTAGACTCGTTTAGAAAGTAGAGAAAGGACCTGTAAGAATAGTTGAAACACTCTTAATACTGAACCAATTTCGTAAAAGATTATTTTGTTTCTAGCCTAAAATATTCTATAAAGCATCCCATAATTAATAATCATAAATTTAATGCTTCAGTTTTGGAGGCGCTGCGAATAATTGGTGTACTTTTTCTGTACATGCTACATTTTCAAGGAAAACCTATTTAGTCTAGAAACCAAAATACGTTGTGTTGCTGTGGTACTGCAGAAAATATTTTTATCGACAATTTACGACGTCTAATATTTTAAACTTGTGGAATATGTGAGCCGTTCTTAAAGTTGGAGTGGAATCTATCTTCAATATCATTTTTCAGAAAAGTAAATTTAAAAAGTATATGCGATAAAATTATCTATTTAAAATTATGTACAGACGTGCAGTATATTTCTAGTTTTCGGAATAGGTTTCCTGTGTGATGTTAACGGGAAATCGGTGGCATAAATCGCTAGAGACAAAAGCACTCTTCCTTTTTCTGTCACGATATCTTCCTCCATCCAACACGTTTCGCCACTTGTTTTATGTCCTAGTAATTATAAAAATGAAATAAAGGAAAGATATATCTCTGTACAGTGCGTTTATCCACTAAAACAACAAGACCAGTAGGGTGTATAAATGGTAAAGAATGTACTTGGAAATAAGTGTAGGCCCTATTAAATGCATTGCAATCTTGAAATTAAACGTTCAGGACTGCAGGAAATATTTTTCGTGATTTCATTAAGAAAGAATATGTGATGCAGCTAAAAAAATTAAAATAATTACGCAGTAGTCTAAATTTTCGCCATTTTTTAAATTCCAGAGTTGAATTAATTTAGTCTATATCTGTCGTAGTATTTCTGATTTAACGTTTTTAGTTTCTTTGTTTTATTCTGTGGTTTCGTGTCGGCTAGACCTAAGCCACATGTGTACCACAATCACGAGGTCAAGCAGGCAATCACCATGAAACTAAAAATGTTTACGTGTTTCTTTCCAAGCCACGATGTAACGTTATAGCCACTTACCTGCCACCAAGCACGAGCACTTCACACAGATACCACATCCGACGCCCGACTGTCGAGTGCGCGAGCGATGCTGAGGTTAGTGAAGGCGTCGGTCGACCATGCGCCAAAGCTCTGCCCTCAGAAGCTGGTAAAAGAGACAGACGTACAACTATAAAACCCGACGAGCGAAACTGAATAAAGTTTGGAGACTGGGTTTAGCGTTATCCCGAGTCCAAATCATCGTCGAAATCAGTTACCATTTTCTCGTTTACTCAGTTTTTAATGAAATTATGATTGCTAAATGGGGAATTGGACAAGGCCACTTCCGGACGCTGTACACAGGAGTTATTATTATTATTATAATTATCATAATGATTATAGTTCTGTTGAATGTTTTCATATACTGAACTGGAAGCTTTGTATGAATTCAAAATCCTAGCTCGCAGAATTTGTCATTAGGATTTGTACGTGTGTACAAATCTTAATTGGCACTTGATAGCCTATAACTCTGTTTGTCAGTTGCAGTATTTTGTCAGTCTGAACTATTGGCACGTCTACTCTGTTTTCGGACTTTCTCGACAGAGGACATGAGGGAATCTTCGCGCATTTCCTCAGGCTGCTCCCCCCCCCCCCCCCCCCCCACGCCTACATGGAGCATAGTGAACACGTTCATGCGGGTTTCTATTGTCATGTTAATACTTCCGGAATTATAAAAGACGACGTGATGAATGGGCTATGTAGCACGCACTGGAGTCTCACATACGTTATGGAATGTAGTGTTTTTGTGCCACTTTTAGTGAATGGTTTTTATTTCCATTATATTGACAGGACTATTATGGGACAGATGATGCATGAGTCGTACCCTTGAAAAACGTAGGGAAAATGAGGTAGTCAGTTTATGTCTTTTCTTGAAAGTACGCAAAATCTCAGTAGGATTTGAGGTTCTCACGGTGGTGGAAACGAAGATGGCTGTCTTTTGGGCTGTAGCGACGTGTAGTCTGGTGGAATTTCACCACCATTTCGGAGGTACTTACTACCTCCATCATCAGGTAGCTCTGAAACGTTCTACCAGACTACATGTCGCTATAACCCAGGATACAACCATTTTTATACAAGAAATCTCTTCTTGAAATGACTAGCTCTGAAATTACAAACCATTGCTACAATTTGCCATGGTTTACACTATTTTGTCAAAGTCTCAGTGATGTTTTAGGCTCGTTATGATAATCCCTCGTTAGATTCTCAGGTGGCTTAGACAGAGAAGGAACTTTTGTGCACAGGAAAGCTTTTTAAGTTAAGCATTTTATTCTACGCTTAGTACATTGCTTCTAGTAATGACCGTTGCACGGAAGTCTCTCAAAAATGGCAGTGTTGGATAAGTAAAGAGAACGTGCTAGAAGCCAGTAAATGTAATGAGTATTTAAAAACAATGTTTTAGGCACGGACTTACACACGGCCCGTATTTAAATTTCTCGTTGGTAAAACACCGCGAAAGCATTTAAGGGTTTAAGCTGAACTAATGGAGTTTATGATACTAATGACCATGACTGTCATCAAATCTTAGGAAGGTCCGCTTTCTACACGGTAGGGGCACATAAGGCATGGCCGAGAGGCGAGTTGAACTCTCGAACAACCAATACGTTTCTAGATTGCGTAAACTAAATTATAATTTTTGTTATTGTTAACTGAATCATACGTTTGAACTTGTGTTAAAAATTAAAACCGCGTTTAATTTGAGACCAATCACGGCTCCGGTTTAAAGACGATCAGATATTTAATGACAGAAGTTTAGGAAGAAAGTACAAGGCTCAGTGCGTGGTAAAAGGTCGTTTGGAAGACGAAGTACAAGAAAAGTTGACTTGGTACGTAGTCACTTAAAACAAACTTCAAGGAAAAGAAAATTTCACAACGGTAAACTTTAGACAAGGCTTACAAAACAGCGGCCAGAAAACTACTATAGGATTTGAAAACATAAAATATGTAAATATTTTATGCATTTTCAGAAATGTGGTTTACATTTCTCTGGGTCTTACGCCTTAATAATGAAAGTTTATTTTTAAACTGTTTTCGGATTTGTATAGCTTCCTAAATAGATTTTCGAAGCGTCTAATAACGGTCCACTTAATTCGATAGTGAATATCTAGGAACTTCTCAATTTAATTTAGATGCCAAGGCGAGGCCCGTAAGTCGTAACAAATTTCAAATAAACTAAAGAATGAAAACGCGACTGTAGGCTTATTAAAAATCAACAGATTATATCTGATCAGGTATCCAGTGCGTATTAAATCAATTTTTTCAGAATTAACGCTGGAAATGCACGTGAATAGTTTCGCGTGGACTACCGCTACTCTAGTCTCTATGATCCAGCAGTTCCCTGTGGATCAAAGAGACACGCCAGCCCTCCCACCACGTTAAGTCTGGAGTCCATGGAGAGGGTTTCCCATCTCCATCTGTCCACTATCTGACCCACCTGCCCTTCATCTAAACCTAATCACATATCAAGTACGAAATTTTGCTTCCATAACAAGCTACAGCGAATTACGTTAGTAAAAATGTGAGCGTCGACTGATGGCGGATCGCTCAGAGATATTTTTGCTCGCGGGAAGCGTCGAACTCAGCCGACTTCAAAATTTATGGTAACCATAGATTCTATAATAGAAAATCGTTTATGGTGCATTGTCGCTCGTGTTTTACATAATTTCGGGCCAAACCCCACGGAGTATTTGCAGTGCTGTACATGTGTGACATCCTCGTTAATTCTGATCTGAAGTAAATACTTGTAACCGTCCTTTCACTCCAAACTTTCCATCAGGTCGCCCGGCTGGTTACAAGGTGTTTTCTGTTGGGTTTCGTTTTGGTAGCTCAACTCATGGACTCTCGCCTTCAGGGAATATACGTGGTGGCTATGAAGGGTTCCAGGGGCAAGGTGCGAGGCGGCGGGATTCGAGGGGATGTAGTCCGATAATTCTGTATTAGTTCACTTTTATTCTTTCCTTCTCTCCTCGCCGAGTGCAGGACTACCCGCGGTCGATACTGCTGTGTATGTGATTTTTGGAAGCCCCTTGCTGGACGCACACCGCGTTCAGCAACACTTTTGAATCTGAAGAGTGTTCTCATTGGTTGAGTTGTTCATCACCCTAACCTTACAAATTTGCCGCCGATAGCTATCTCCCCCCCAGATGTGGCCCGAACTAGCGATCCTAACCGTCAACTCGGGAAAATTCAATACAATTTGATTATAAATTCCGATTAAGGAAGGCGCTACCGAAACAAGACTAACTTAGGCCCCTTTCCTTGCATATAAACTGGAGTAATCGCCAAAAGTCCAGTCTAAGTCTATCTCAGGTCCGCCTGCTCGAGAATCGAACTCAGAGTGGGCTGTCACATACTCGGTCACAGCTTTTACTCCCTATGGGGTATGTGGGATAGCTTCTTGTGTGTTGTAGGTTTGTCAGTGTTAAACCCCTAGGCAGTACGATTAAGAAAACGTTGCTTAATCAAAGTTATTTTATCATTTCTTATCCAGCAGTTCATATTCTTGTTGCTGATGAAAGTATGGTTTGGAAATCTGAAGATATTTTCGTTGTCTGTGGAATAGTCATGTCCTTTTGAGGGATATTGGAATGTATCTCAGGAGTCCTATCCCTGACCCTGAGTTTACACAGTAGTTCTGTAACGTGAATATTATACTGAGTTTTGTCACGTGGAAACATGCTTAATTAATGGAATTAAGTACTTAAAATACACCGTTATGATTTATTAAACCTCCTGTAAAGGAGACGGCGTAATAAAGACGAATGCTTTATTAGGATTTCGAGTCTTCTCGCAGGTGCTGACTGCCGATGCATGTTTTAATGTCCAGTTAATGTGCTGTTATCCGATTACAGTTTCAGGCCTTGAGTGTAAGTATGATTTTAAGTATTTTGGACATAGAGTACAGTGTTGTGCGAATCTGACCTATATCTGCTTTACGGAACTCTGCTGAATGAATGTTCTGTATGTCCGACGTGTGTTTGTTTGCTCTCACATTATGTTTCCGGTTCTTACTCTCCGACACGGACAAGGCTGTTTTTTAATGCGCGCATTTGTCCGCCTGTCGTTCTCTGAACAAATAATTTCTTTACTTCTGTCACTGAAATTTTAATAACAAAACTTTGCAATTTTTAGCTGAAAATTGTTTTATTCCATTTCTCTAGAAGCTTTAACGATTTGTACGTACATATGCAGAATGTAATTTTTTGAATTATGACACAGAGATCAAACTAAATCTTAAACACGCGTTTCCTGTTTTAATTAGGAGGAGGTAAGTACTTCTTGGCTTCTTGTGAGCATTTGCATTGAACTCTTACTTAAAGCAAAGAAGGTCGAGAAGAATCGATTTATTTATGAACGATTTTTTGCAACACATACTCGAAAGGCAGCTATACTTTATTTTACGCTGTTACGATGGGCTGGAGAAACAGTTCATGTGGAGGAGACAAGAAATATCTCATGTCGGTGAGTAAACGTCTTGGACAGTGGCTCCTTTAAGACTTAGGAGAAAACGGGAGGATAATATTAAAATTGGTTCTAAGGAAATATGTAGTGAAAATTTGTTTTGAAGGGAACTGACGATTCTGTCAGTGTTCTGGTTCTGAACATTCGAAGTCTATTTCTAGAAAGCCACTCACTGCGTATGTTTAGTGTACTGATTAGCGTTTATGTACATTGAACATTTAACCCGTTAATTTACGGTCAGAATGGCATATCTGAACTTCGATCAACTTTTAATACATTTCAAGCGATGAGACGCATCGAGAATAACAGGCAGGAACTGGTTAGAATCCCGGCCGTGTGAATGGTTGACAGAACTGAGTGATTTTTGTGCCTGCCTTGAGTTGTAGGTGAATTCCCAGGCGGTATTTTTAAAGAGGATGCCACTGATTTCTGCTCAGTTATCTCCGGTTTTCCCAACATTCATAGTTATTATCTCAGCCGATATCAGACAGTCTCTGCAGTTAATACGGCTTTGTTCAACATTTCAGGTAGCTGCGTTATTAATTACCTTGAAAGTGCAGAATAGTATGAAAATTTTGTTACCTTTCCAACGTGATTATCTTTACGAAAATAAATGTTTTGTGTTTTCTTGGA